TGTATCTAAGGGTACGTTTGTGTATATCTCCCACAGAGCCATCTATTCTATGTATCTAAGGGTACGTTTGTGTATATCTCCCACAGAGCCATCTATTCTATGTATCTAAGGGTACGTTTGTGTATATCTCCCACAGAGCCATCTATTTCGGCGCCTACGCCCACAGCAAGCAGTACCTCAATGGCGTCATCACACCAGAGACACATTTCGTCCATCTCTGTTCTGCCGTCACTGCCGGTGAGTTGGCTTGGGTTTGTTTGTTTGTGTTTGTTTTTGTTTGTTTGTTGGTGGGGTTTTTCTTTCAGTAAAAGTTTTATGTCACTTGCTGGTGGGTGCTCTGATGTGGTTTGCTCCTTCTTTCCTTTCAAACATCTATCGTCCTTATCTCTCCTCCTTTTTATGTTTGTTATTCTCTTGAAACACCTCTATTCTTCGGCACGTCTATTATCACCTTACTGTATTGCAAGTGCCGTAAAACTCTTACTAACACTAAAACTAGACTAAGGAATTAGTAAATAGTAAAGTTTAAAAAATAACCTAACTACTTGACTAGCGAGGCCAAGTTCTTGTCAAGCGATGTTTGTTGATCACGGTAAGCTTGACAGTCACGTTTCAAGGGCGATAGCCAGGGGACATTTCCCTCGACTTTACTGAAGTATCTAGACTTTACTCTTTGCCTGGTTTTTGTGGTTGTTGTTTTGTTTTTTTCCCTTCCCCTTGATTAAAAAACCCCCAACAACCCAGTATCTGTTGTTTTCTGACGTGAAGCGAATGACGTGCTTGGATCGGGCATGTATGCTGGCTTGATATGCTCGAGTTGGGTTTTTTTTACAGCAAAATCTGTTTGTTATCTGTCAGCGTGGGTTTTTGTGTTTGTTTCAAGAGTTTTTTGAGTTCTGGAGTGGTTGTTGACCTTGGCTAGAGTTCACTGGTTGTTGACCTTGGCTAGAGTTCACTGGTTGTGAAGGCATGAGAGACACGTGCAAGAAGTGCATGAGGGGTGTGTGTGAGGTGTGTGTGAGTGTCAGGTGTGCAGGTGTGTGTGAGTGTCAGGTGTGCAGGTGTGTGTCTGGAGGCTCAAGGTCACGGGGCATTGTGTGCCTGGGGAGGGGTAATACACTCACACGCACGCGCAGACACGCACATACACATTCACAGACATCCATAG